GGCCATGTCCCGTCTCTTCCCGAGGTTCTCCTGTGGAGAGAAGCTGTCCACTCAGCCTTTTCGCAGAACCTTCTGTGTGGCTGGAGCTGGGTGGGTTTGGGTCAACCCCAGCATCCGTGTGATTCCTTAGTTCCCTCCTGGCTCCTCTTTCTTCTGTGGCTTCAGGCTCCTCTGGGTCAGCAGTGATCCTCCTGCACCTGCTCCTCAGGCCAACCCAGACCATCTCTCTTTGCAAAATAAGCCAGGGAGCCAGCCGGCCTCTGGTGCCCTCTCTGGCCTGGCCCTTCCCCTCCCTGCTCTCTCTCCTTCCAAGAATATGCCATTTCACAGCAAGTTCCATTTTCACAGCCCCAGTCTGTTCACGCGGTTCCCCAGTTCTAACATCACAGAGGAATGTCTGACATCATCTCCACCAGTGAATCCAATGTTCGCCAGCCGCCACCCCTCCCTCCCCTCCCTGCCCTCCCTCCCGCGCCTCCTTTCTTGACCAGCTATTTGCTGAGTCTGGCCTCTGATCATCCAGACACACTTAATTCTTGTCCCTGGAACCTGCTCTGGCCCCCAGCTCTAGGCCTGTAAGCGTTAGAATGCGAGCTAGGTCTTGGCCTCCAAAGACATTGCTCGTTGGTTCCCAAACTTTGCTGCACGTGAGAATCCCCTGGGGAAATGCTAGCGCGCCCCCCACCCCTGCCGGGCTGGGTCACACCCTGTACCCATGAAGTCAGAGCGTCTGAGGGTGGGGGCCAGGCGGCAGCAGTTTCTAAAGATCCCCAGGTGATTGCACCGTGCAAAGTGTGGGCCCAGGAACAGAGTGCTGAGCCAAAGGGGGTCAGAGCCACAGCCAGCCCCGTGGAGCGTGGGGCACAGACAGACCTTCAGAGCCGCGACGGAGGGGGACGAGGGGGGCATTCTCTCTGGGGGCTCTCCCAGCCTCGTGGCGAAGTCCTGCTCCGGGGAGGGCTGACAGCGGCAGCCTGCTACCGTCCCTCCTCCAGCCTCTCCAACAGGCAGCTCCATGGGTGGTTCAGAAACTCCTATCAGAACCCTCTGGAGGGCTTATGAAAACACAGATCGCTGGGCCCAGCCTCAGAGTCTGACTCGGTAGGTCTGGGCCGGGGCCAGAGAGGTTGCCTTTCTAGCAAGTTCCCAAGTGCTGCAGAACGGAGGCCGTCCTCGCAGACCCACAGTCTGCAGCCTCTTCCCAGGTCGCTTCCAGCTTGCCACAGTCGGAAGTCGGAGGGAGTAAGAAAGGGGAGAGGACAGCTCATGTTGCCTTCTCTGCTGAGGGAAGGCGGGCTCTGCGGAGTCCCTGGTGGTCCCCCCTCAGCACCGGGCAGCAGGTGTCCTGTTCTGCGCGGGCTCCGTGAATGCTTGTAGGATGATGTCGCTAGCGTGTGGTGCCAACACAGGACACAAATGCCAGCCTGTCACGTACACTCCAGGAAAGACGGAGTCTGTCTGTGGCTTTCTGAACGCTCAGTACTTCAACTCAACAAAAAAATACCGATTAGCCTAAATGCCCCAAAGTGCCATCATGTCCCAAGCACTCTGACTCTACTGGGGAGAGGGCTTGGCTTGGGCGCGGACAGCCTTCCCGCCCTTCTGGAGCGCACTGTCACGCAGGGGCGGCGGGTGCACACAGGCCATTGCAGGGGTGAGCTCGGCAAGGAGAAGGGCAAGCAGCAGCTGCGGGAGCCCCCACCCTCTGTCTGTCTGAGAGTAGATCTTTCCCTCCTTGGACTGTTCATGCTCTGTTGACTTGTACCGGGTTATAAATCTTGGGGAGACAGCATCAGCCCCAAATGGGCTGCTCGCTGGAATGTGCTTCCAGTTGTGCTCACCTGAGTGGCAACCGTAGGGCTGTTTAACAAGAGGTTAAATGTCCCAGCATCTTTCCTGCTCACACTGTTCAAATTAAGATGGATTCCCAGTTCCCCTCCTGCTGAGGATTTGATGGAGACGGCGGGGCTAGCGGTGTGGGGGTTGCTGCAACTCTGCCTTCCTCCAGGCTGCCAGGCTGAGGGGCCGTGTGTGGGTCTGCTGTGGACAAGTCACTTAGCAGAGGAGAAGTCCAGCGCCGCCAGGAGACCAGAGATGATGTGGGGAAATGCATTCTTTTGTGTCCTAGGACCAGCAGCCAAGTGAGTGGGTGGGCTCTGTGGCCGTGACAAAGACACCGGCCAATGAATCTTCCATCCCAAAGCTCTCCTGAGAGCAGCTTGTGTCCAAATAAACTTATTTTTCCGCTTATCCAGAAATCTTACCCTCTTCTGGAAATTTACTTTTCTGTGGGAATAGAGGGGTGACCTCATGGACCCAGGGAAGAGACGTCATTCACATGTCTTTGAGGACAGGATATTGTCTGGTTCATCCATACCATTTCCCACAGATTGGTGGTACGTGTCTGAGCCTGGGCCAACACTTAGAATCTGTGGCAAAGTTTTAAATTCTGGGGCCACAACCTCTAGCCCACGGTCTGTGCCAAAATGCAGCCCAAGAATGCAAGTTCCACTGGGTGCTCAGGCAGTGTGGATAACCCCGGAGGCTTTGAAAGTCAAGCAGGACACAGAAGAAATGAGCATCAGGGCTGGCTTTGGGGGTTCTCCATTCTTCCTTTGTAACCAGCTGATGCTCACCCATGTAGGGCTATACTGTCAACATCAGGAAATAATGTATAGTTGTGTGGGTTTTTGGGTTAGCACCACAAGCCGCCCCCAAGCCGCCCCCCCCCCATCTGAATGAGCACAGTTTTCAGGAGAGACAGTGCTGCAAATAGTTATTCTAACCAGATGGCCCACTTCTTAATATGGCCATGTTCCATCTCTTTTGAAGATCTGTCCTTTCCTTCTGGACGAAAACATTTTAGTTTTGGATCCAGACATCAGCAGTCTCTTACAGAAGCATCTTTTCCCATCTTATAGTCAGCATCCGTACTAGAAGTTAACTCAGCAGTGAAAATTTTGTAGACAGAACTTTGATGGAAAGAGTAGGCAGTGGATGCAGCCTGGGGACAGGGCTGAATGTCACACTTGGGCTCTTGGACATGAGCGGGGTGAGGTCAGCTGCGCCTGGGGCCTTCAATTATTGGACCACCCAGCTCATCTTCACCCCACTGGGTCACTCATCCAGGATGCAGACCACAAGGACAGGTCCAGAAGAAGCGGGACACAGCCCCCTGTGGGCTCCACGTGCAGCCAGCACTGGGCATGTGGCTTCGGAGGGAAGGAATTTGCAGAAAACCCATGGGCACTGTTGGATCTTGTGTCTTAGCTATTGTCCCTCTTTCCTGAACATACCTCCACCCCCTGGTTGCCTGTGATATGTGGCTTGGTTTCTTCCTCTCTACTTTGTCTCCTGTTGCTTCCTTTGTGGCTTTAAAGGATGAGTGGCAACGTGGCATAGTGAAAGGAATGTGGTTTGAAAATCAAGAGAGACTTCATTTCCAATCCCAGCTCTGGTATGTGCTAGTTGTAAGATGTTGGGCAAGTTCCTTCATCTTTTGTGCCAATTTCTTTATCTGGAACACGTGAATAATAGTACATACATATGTCATAAGGCTACCGTAAAGCCTAACAAGCTAATGCTCATAAATGCTTAGCCCAGTCTGGCATGCATGTTTCAACACGCATCAGCTGTTAGGAAGTGAACTGAGGGACGGATTCTCTGCCCACGTTTGCATACAGATCACACCAAATGGGTGTGATGGGAGTGAAGCTGGCTATAGGTCCAATAGGGTAAACGAAACAGCAGAAGTGGTCTACCTTTCTAACGAGAGGTACAATTAGATGCGTTGCAGAGTGTGTGAGAAGAGCCCTCCGTTCATGGCACCGTGTGTGGTTCAATCCAACTGTCAGCTGTGGTTCTCCTTTGAGATCCGCAAATTGGCTTGAACCGTCCCCCACATACAGAGAGAGGTCCCAGAGGACAATCCGATAGGACTTGGGGGCAGGGGAAGGCGGATTTCCCTGTTCACCTCTGTGGCTTCACGGACTCTGGTTTTAAATCATCCTGCTTTACTGTCTGCGAGCTGTTCTCACTAAATCCACAGCAAGCATCCTCCCCTTTCTTCCCTCCCCGAACAACACTGACACAAAGCTGTGTGTGCAGCAGGCTTTTACTGAAGGTTTGGGATGATAAAGAGGATTTACATTTGACAGCTCCAGCACCCAGAGACCAAGCCTGTGGCTCAATCCCACTTTCTCTTGTTCTGCTGCTCAGCCCATCCTCCAGTGTCAGCTAACTTTCTCGGCAGACGAGGGGAATTGGGGTCTCACTTTCCAAAGAGGTCAGTTACAGTGTCTTTGGAAACACATGTAGAAACACATGCCTCTAAGAGAACTCTGATGTCATTAATTTTGTGTATTTCTGTATCTGGCTCCACAGGCCAACTGTGAGCTCCTTCAGGGCAGGACTCACACAGGATCTGTCTCTGGCAGTGGAACAATATGGTGGCCAAGAATCCACTTGCTGGAGCGAAATTGCGTGGGTCCAGACACTGGTTATTCCGCTTCCTAGTCACGTGACCGTGGTAGGGACCAGGTTGCTGGGAGGACTGAAGTAGGAGAGCGGGACTAGTGAGCCTAGAGTGGTGTCTGAGGCATACACTGGGCGCTCAGTGAATGCCTGCATTCCTCAGCCCTGGATGGACTCTGCTGTCAGTCTGCAGGACAAGCTGCATGCACGGTGACACTGGTCATTCCAAGCTGGGAAGATGCCTGTGGTGTGACTGAGTAACCCAGGTTCCTGATGTAGAAGGACGAAGTCGGAGTTCTTAGACAAATTTTTCTCCTTGGTAAGATTGTAGTTGAAATATTTGGACACAATAAAGGAAACTTTTACTTAACCAGGCTAAGGGGGAAGAGTGGAAAAGAGTTCTATTGTTTTCATCTAAACAGTAACAGGCCACAAGCCATTTTAGGTTTCCCTTTTCATTACTAATCTCTTCACATTGAAGATTCATTTTGGGTCTTTTTTCTCTATATATACAGAACAAAATAAGGCAAGCTTAAAAATTCTTTATTTGAATCTTAGACAAAGAACAAGTATTGCATTGTAAAGACCTGCTTAAAGCCGTGTAAGTCTGTTGTGGTTTCTTTATGCATCATAAACCAACGCCATACTGCAGGAGAGACTGGTACCTCATCGCTCCTCATCTTTAACCTGCTCTTAATGTAGCGTGGATGCAACCTCAGAAGGAAAACCCTGGTCAAAGGCTTGGTGAACACTCTCTCCTCTGGCTCTGATGGCTCCATGGGTGAAGCACGATGGGTCTTGGCCCAACCACACCTGCCAACAGGATGAGAAACAGGGAATTGGTGTCTTAAGGCCAGCAGTACCTGGTAGTTTTCATCTAAAGTTCTCTTTCCCCCTCTTAACCGATGACTGACCTGGCAATTAGGGCTGAGTGTGAGTTGAATGGTCTGATAGACAATGACTGTGAAAGTCAACCTAGCGGTCTCTCTCTGGGGTTTACCCCCCCTCCGGGGGGGGGGCTAGATGAAGCCTCCTGGTTTAACTAGTGGTCACCAACGGTGTTGGGTGGAAGCAGCAAAACCGTGTGCTGTCTGCTGACCTTGGCAAATGATAAACTATGATTTATTTACTTCTCGGTTCCCCAAACTAATATAATTCTCTTAATGTGCTATACCTCTAATGCTTAAGTCAGAAAACCATTATGTCGAGACAGGGCCACTATTTGGCAGTGGCTAGCCATGACATGATTCATGCACAGGACCAAATTTCCTGATCAAGATGCTTTTGTCATTCTTTTCATAACCTGACAGATAACACAACCATTAGAACAATCTGCTCAAAGCTCTAGACTTATCTAAAATAAACTCTGTTTTAAGCTTAGTCACTAAAAATATAAGTTAACAGGCTACATTCTGATTTCTATTTTCAGGTAGGAGAAAACGGCTTTTACATGCATAGTTCCATGGGGGGCTCGAGCAACATCTGTTTGGGTAGTCCAGTATTCTGTCTTCCTAGAAAATTAAAAATCGACCACAACCCCTAGGGGTGGGGGACACAGAAGTTGTCCCCTCCCAAATGTGACTAGGGGTAGGAATGAAAACTTCTCACATTTACTTTCTTTAGGCTTTATTCTTGTTTTTAAGGTATGAATATAATTAGTGCTCATATTAGCAGCAAAGATCCTAATTTCTCCAAATTAGAATGACTCAGGAGGGACATAAATAACATTCTGGTAAAAATGTGGGGTCCAGAGGTGGTGATAAGCATCTGTCAATTCTAGCATTACGCAATCTTGGGAGGTTAATGCACATGAAACAGCCAATGGGATGAAAGGCTTCATTCAAACTTCAGTTCCTTGGACTCTGCTGCCCATGGGGGTGCAGTGGGCCAGGCTTCGCTGGGTGGAAAAGCGTCCATGAGGTCAGGCTGCAGTGGACGTGGGGTCTGACTGGCTCGTCGGTAAAAAGGGGTGACTTCTCCTAGGTAGCTGAGAGTAGAAGTCGCTTGGAAACTTTTCAGTGTTTGAAAGTCAAATATGGGTTTTTCCTTGTGCTATTTTTCTGCCAAGTTTCACAACCCGAGCTGAGTGAGAGGGCAAGAGCCAGAAAGTAGTGCAAACGTTGCAAGGAGCTGGAGAGGGGTACGGTTTCCATCACCCCAAAGGCCGCAGCCACGGCGTCTCATCAGGGTCACTGCTGACGGGGGCTCATGCCCGGGGTCAGAGAGTCAGGCCAGGAAGGTTGGTCGGGACAGTGTCTCTTTAAAAAGGACAGAAACATCAGTTTGAATCCCAAGTTGCTTGTCTGTTTCTAAGTAATGTTTATTCAGAACACTCAAGAATGACTCATAACATTGCTGCTTTCAAATACCTCTGTGTCTACTTCTTGCTCACAAGAAAAGGCAAAGACGTGTCAGCTTGGCGCTGGAGCCTATAGTCCTTTAGGAAAAAGTTCGAAGATGCTCTGAGATTTCATAATTACAGTTTGTTTTTTCGTTTTTGTTTTTTCACTTGTGAAAAGATAAACCTCACCCAGTAATGTAATGGAAAGCTTCTAAATGACAAGCATGGCAAACTTTTGATTCAAGATGATCCCTTTACAAATCCCAACTTTGGAAAGAGACCGTTTACACTACCAGGCTGATGGAGCTGTGTGTTCTGCTGGGGGGGGTAACCCTGTGCTGGGGGGTCCCGACGCCTGACTCAGTAGTTAATACGAGGAACCATCCGCTGCCATGAAGCCTCCACACGTGGGGCTTGCAAGCAGGTGGGAGAACCGGTCCTGGCCAGGCCCGCCGCCACTTCCTGGGGGAGGAGGGGTGGGGGACAAAGGGAAGAGAGTCCCCTACCCCATGGGTGGACTTGCCTCCTCTAGTTTATCTAATTATCCCACAAACTTGCAAAATCCCACTTAATATAAAGTTGATAAATTTAGATGCATAGCCCCCATCATTCCTGGCTGCAATCCCCAAAAGGCGATTTCAACCTAAAACTAAACCCAAACAGCAGCTTAATTTATTCATCAGGCATAGCCACTTTCTCTTGCCCAACACGCCTAACTCATGCGAGCACAGAGGTTACGTCAGAACCGCTGTGGGGCCCGGGAATTCGTAAGAGCTTTGACAGTAATTACAAAAGGAGATCACTGCCTCGTGGTTGTCACTCCCTCCCTTCCTGAGACTTCACCCTGAGGAGCGAAACCAGGGGGAGCGTGGGCGCGGCCCCTGGCTGCCGTGGGCGGTCAGCACTCCTTGCTGTTGGCACCTGCATCCCCACCTGCAGGAGAGGCATCCAGGTGGGCTGACGCGACATGACTGCCACGGTTGGTCGGAGCGGTCAGGGAAGCTGGGGTGGAGGGTGAAGGCTGAGCACAGGGCGAGAAGCGGGCGGTTGGCCTGTGGGTGAGGGTCCACGCACGGGAGAGGAAGCACCGTCTGTAAGGCCGTGCCCGCGGCCGCGGTGACAGTGGTGACAGCTCGGGCGGACTAGCAGCTTGGGAACGGCCATGTCCCCTTGCCCCCTGGCCAGGGCCACGGCTACGTGCTTGGCTGGTGTGCAAGATGGGAGGAGACACTCCCGAGAGAAGGCTGTCCTGCCACGTGCAGGTCTTGTCCGCATGGGCCTGGCGCCCGTCAGAGGTGGAGCGGCCCCGGGGAAGGTGGTTCCCGTGTGGACGTCGCCCCGGACAGCAGCCGCAGTGGGGGCTGTAGCAGGCTCGTGTGGGGGGCAGAGCGAGGCTTGTTAACGCCACCAAACCCCAGACAGATTCCTGGGGACCCGGGCAGCAGAGCGCCCCGTCGGCCGCACGAAGTTACCCGGATCTCCTCGGAGCGCATCCAACGGAGCTTGGGCACAGAGGTGCCACTGTCCAGAGGTGGAAGCCTGAGTGATGTTCGGAATTATTTAGAAGCCAGGCCGACCCTTGTGGGCAGGAGGGGGCAGGAGGGGGCCGGCCGCAGGACACCCCACGGGACTCACACCCACAGTCCTTCCTCCTCCGACTCAGAGCAGTGGGAGGCCGGAGCGGGGACTGGAAGGGAAGAACACCGACCCAGGCAAGTAGATTACGGGAAGAAGCCGTGTCTGCAGAACGAGTTCTAGCGAGAAAGTGTGAAGTTGCATAGGAGAACAGGAAGACTCACTTTAGAAACCGAAGGCAGAACACCGGAGAGGAGAAGAAAGTAGTCAAAGTACAGTAAGATATGAGGGAACACAGTAGGGCTATTTTTTCTTTCTTTCTTTCTTTTTTTTTTTTTTTTTTACCATGGGAGGACAAAAAAGTTAATTCCTTCACTGTCTATTCACTGGAGAAACTGAAAATTATTGCTGGATTGTGGAATGCACTCCCTGAACAGGAATCCAAGCTGGCCTGTCTGCAGAGTCTTAAGGAATAAATACCTGCCAATTCTCATGAGAAAAAAAACCTCGTTTGCTTAACATCACCCTGCGTGTTCCTTAGCCGAATTCAGTATCGTCATACTAGTAGAAGGTGTGTCGTGGGTGGGGATTCGCAGTAAAGCTGAAGGATTTGTCCCAGGGTCCTTGCGGACCTGCACCAGACGAGTACAGAGAACATATAAGCACATATGCTAACACTCAGTGGCCTCAGAATAAAAGGTTGCTGTGGCTTCCATTTTAACTCCAGTCACATCAAAACCTGCAGTGTTTGAAACGTGTGTTAACAGAGCTGGCTCCTCCTCCCTTGGCCCACGTGGACCCTGCTCTTCCCTGACAGTCTCTCCACCCCATTGCCCTGCGCCGGTGTCCCACACAGTTACGCACACACCGGCTCAGGCGGGAGCCACAGTTCCCGGGCAAGGACCAACTTTACCCAGTTGGGATTTCTCCCTTTTACCTAAAGCCCTCAATTGTCTTGACCCTTTTGGGGGACGTTTTTGGCTGTTCTGGTTTTGAAATCTGTTTCCAATAAGCACAATATCCAGAATGGATTTGCATTAAATTAATAAAAACTCTAATTACTGGAAACATCGGTGTGCTGTACAGCTATAAATAAAAATCTCTATCAATAAGTGAAATGGCAGAGAAGGGAAGAAGATCTTATTTTAAAGAGGACTATTTAAACACAAAAGAAATACAGGAGGAAAAGCAATTTAGGAAGGTACATAAAAAATTCGACACCAGGCAGCAAGGAGGATGCAGGCAACATTTGCCGTGGGAGAAAAGCCACTGCCCTTGTGTTTGAGCATCAGTGCTTTCCCAGTAGAAGGGCAGACGGTGAAAAACAACTTTTCTTGCTACCCCTGGAACCCTACTGCGAGGCAGCTCTCGGCCTGCCACCAAGAGGGCGGACAGGAACAGGTCTCTCCCCTGCTCTCCAGCGCGGCGGGGGCAGGGTCCCACCGTGTTTTCTGGTGCAGCCTCAGAGGCTATTGTAATGACTCCGGGATGGTGCGGACAACATGGGCTGCCTCCGGGGCTGCTGGCGGGGAGCCGAAGAAGGTGTTGCTTTGATTCCTCTGCTGATCTCGGAGATAAGGGGGAACTGACGAGCTCTTGATGTGGAGGATCCGGGTGTCCATCACCTGACAGTCAATCTGCATCATCACTTCATAATCCTGCCCATTGATCACGTTCTCTGTGGGGAGGGAGACACACAAGGAATAAATATTCACCAGCATGTGCGATTCTACCATAAGCTTCAATCCCAGAGAGACCTAAATAAGCTTTATGGGTGTGAACTGCCAACAGGCTTTCTAGGGAACAGAGGGGCTCCATCAGTCACTAAGCGGAGCCACAGCTGGGATAGGTGCTAGGATGGCCTGTCCTCCTTGATTCCAGCTTCCCAACAACCTTTATCGGCCCGGTAAGGTCTTGGAGCAGTGGCAGAGTTCACCCCAGAGTATCTGTCCACAGATGTCATGTGAAGATTTCCGCGGTGGGTAGAGGGGAGAATACTTAAGCGCCTCTCCCCTTCAACAATGGGAAGGAATAACTGTCAGAAGAACCAACCTACGGCGTGCACGGTCCCAGGAGACCCTGGCTGAGACCACTTGCCTCCCATTCATCAGCCGTGTTTCTAATTTCAATAAGAGAGTCCCAGTTACGAATTTAAGGCTTGGCCTTAGCAGCATAAAGTACAGTGAAGACCGACAACAAGGTGCAGACGTGACAATGATGTTCTTGCCCAGAGGGAAGTGTGGGATTCCAGAGTTTTTGATTCCGGGTATAAGAGACAAGGACGTTTCTAATTTGGGACTAGAGGCAGTGCTACAGGACTTGCAGGTAAACTAGAGGCGAGTTGCAGAGGGAACGGGAAAACCACATAGGGTTGCACTCACTTACCTGGTCTGGAGGAACTCATCCCAAGTTTAACACACACATGCTCTTACTTCCTAAGAGGATGAACGTGCTTTATTTTAGGGAGAGGGCAAATTATTTCCTGATTTGTAATTCTGGGCAGTCATTTTCCAACTTGTAGTCAATGAAACTTGGGCATAAGACTAAAGAGAATTGCAGGCAGACAGTCCCTCCAAGCCCAGCCGGCCATTCACAGCGGCGCAGTTAGGAGGTGTATGAACGTGGAATAATGCCAGCATCGCTGTCTGCATGTCCTCCGCGAATGCGGAGCTGGCAGTGGGGACCGGGCGAAGGCCTAGTCTTACTGTGTGTTTATGAAGATGATACACAGCCAACCAGTGACTTTTAAAATTAAACATCTGGCTTCTCTAGGACCAAGAATTGAATTTAAAGTAGAATTCTATTTTTTTGTTTTTACTTCAACACTGTGCACGCCAAGTATGATACATCTAGAGGAAGAAAATCCAAAGTTTGACATTTGATCTTCAGATTCCATTGTTATGTTTGGGAAAATTAAGCCATGGAGTGTGTCACAGTTTAGGACTTAACAGAAATCCTCTAATCCAGTGGGTCTTAAATCAGAGTCTAATGCATAGACTTCAGGGAGTCTGTAAGTTCCCTGAAATTGCATGCAGAATTTTATTTGCGTGTTCATTTTTCTGGAGAGGAGCCCCATCGGATTCTCAAAGGTGTCTATGACTTCCCAAAAGCTGAAAACTATTGAATCTAATAAGCTATCAAGTTTAAGTTCCTCGAGCAGATGTTATAGTCTATGTCAAAACCGATGGAAGACATCATTCCTCTACTTCTACTCACTGGCTATCTGCTCTTATTTTTAAAATACTCTTGGTTGATGAGTAATTTCTCATTACAAGTCTTGTAAATCTCTTCTATTACACTTGAAGCTAATTTCCTTCTTTCCCAGCCTTACTAGAGAATGAAGAACAGCTGGTTGCCCCTGCGCAGTAACTAACCCTACTATTCTTTAAGACCATTGCTATGGACACTTCAATTTTATGAGTCCTACAGACATGCAATGAAAATTAAGTCATTTGCTTAGCTTTTTAAAAAAACCAAGGTATAACTGATATAAAATATTATTTGTTTCAGGTGTGCACCTTGATGATTCCACATATTTATATACATTGCAAAATGATTACCACAGTAGGTCTAGTTATCATGTCACCATACAAAGTTAATATTATTGACTATATTCCCCATGTTGTACATTAAATCCACATGACTTACTTATAACTACAAGCTTGTACTTCTTGATCTCTTTACCATTTTGCTCCCTACTCCAACCCACTTCCCCCTCTGGCAATGGGCAATCTGTTCTCTATGAGTCTGGGTTTGGTTTGGTTTGATTTTTTAAGAATCCACATATAAGTGGAATCTTGTGGTATATGTCTTTGTATCTGCTTATTTAACTGAGCATAACATCCATTAGGTCCATCCATGTTGTTGCAAAAGGCAAGATTTCTTTCTTTTTTATGGCTGAATACTATTCCACTGTATACACACACACGTGCGTGCCACATCTTTATCCATTCATCCATCAACGGACAAGAAGGTTGTTTCCGTATCTTGGCTACTGTAAATAATGCTGCAGTGCACACAGGGGTGCATATATCTTTTCAAATTAGTGTTTTCAATTTCTTTAGATAGATAACCAGTAGTGGAATTGCTGGATCATAGGGCACTTCTATTTTTAGTTTTTCGAGGAACTTCTATACCCTGTTCCACAGTGGCTGCACCAATTTACATTCCCATATATGAGGGTTTCTTTTCCTCCACATCCTCACCAACACCTGTTGTTTCTTGTCATTTTGATAACAGCCATTCTGACAGGTGTGAGGTGGTGTCTCATTGTGGTTTTTTCATTTCTCTCATGATCAGTGATGTTGAGTATCTTTTCAAGTGCCTGTTGGCCATCTGGATGTCTTTGGAAAAATGTCTATTTAGATCCTCTACCATTTTTTTTTTTTACATGACTTGGTTATAACATCTTGAGTCAAATTTTAACATCTGAACTGCAATTTCATTGCTACTAAGATAATGAATAAACGCTCTACTTGATGTTTGTTTTACTGCTCTGCCCATTTTTTAACTGGATTTTTCTGTTATTGAGTTTGAGTTCTTTATATATTTTGGATATGAATACAACTGGATATATGATTTGCAAGTATCTTCCTCCACTGGGTAGGTTGCCTTTTCATTTTGTTGATAGTTTACTGTGCAGAGCCTTTTAGTTTGATGTAGTCCAATTTGCTGATTTTTGCTTTTTCCCTGTTGTCTTTGGAGTCAAATGCAAGAAAACATCACTGAGATGGATGTCACGGAGTTTACCACCTATGTTTTCTTCTGGGAGTTTTATGGTTTCAGGTCTTCAAGTCTTTAATGCACTTTGAGTTAATTTTTCTATATGGTATAAAATAATGGTCCAGTTTCATTCTTCTGTGTGTAGCAGATCTAGGTTTCCCAACACCATTTACTGTCTCTTCTCCCTTGGGTATTCTTGCTTCATTTGTCAAAAATTAATGAACCATACTCGTGAAGGTTTATATCTGGGCTCTCGATTCTGTTCCACTGATCTTTGTGTTTTTGTGCTAGTGCAATACTGTTTTGATTACTATAGCTTTGTGTTCTAGTTTAAAATCAGGGAGCATGATACCTCTGGCTTTGGTCTTTCTCAACATTGCTTTGAGTATCCAGGGTCTTCTGTAGTTCCACATAAATTGTAAAATTACTTGTTCTAGTTCTGTGAAAAATGCTATTGGTATTTTGATAGGAATGGTAGTAAATCTGTAGGATGCTTTGGTTAGTACGGCTATTTAACAATATGAATTCTTCCAATCCATGAGATGACATATCTTTCTGCTTATCTACATCTTCTTCAATTTCTTTCATTAATGGCTTAGAGTTTTCAGTATACAGGTCTTTCACCTCCTTGGTTAAATTTATTCCAAGGTGTTTTATTCTTATTGATGTAACTAATTGGGATTATTTTCTTGATTTCTCTGACAGTTCATTATTCATGTATAGAAACAACAGATTTTTGTATATTGATCTTGTATCCTACAACTTCACTGAATTCATCAATACTAATTCTTTTTTTTGTGTGGTCTTCAGTGTTTTCTATTTTGTAGTATTATGTCATCTGCAAATAGTGATAGTTCTACTTCTTTCTTTCCAATTTGTATGCCTTTTATTTCTTGCCTAACTGCTGTGGCTAGAACTTTCAATACTATGTTGAATAAAAGTGGTGAGAGTGGGCACCCTTGTCCTGTTCCTTGTCTTAGAGGAAAAGTTTTGGCTCTTTACCATTAAGATGTTAGCTGTGGGTTTGTGATATATGGCCTTTATTATGTGGAGGTGTGCTCTTTTTTTTTTTTTTTCCCAAAAATATTTTAGAGTGCTCGTGAGTGCAGGGGGAGGGGTCATGGGAGAGGGAGAGAGAGAGAATCCCAAGCAGACTCCATGCTGAGTGCAGAGCCTGACCAGGTGCTCCATCGCACAACCCCGAGATCATGACCCAAGCCAAAATCAAGAGTCAAACACTCAACTGACTGAGCCATCCAGGCGCCCCTTTCTTTTCAGATTTTTATTTAAATTCTAGTTAGTTAACGTATAGTGTAATACTGGTTTCATGAGAATTTAGTGATTCATCACTTACATGTAACACCCAGTGAGGTATGCTCTTTCTATATCTACTTTGTTTAGAGTTTTTGTAAGTGGATGTTTGATTCTGTCCAAGCTTTCACTGCATCTCTTGAGATGATCATATAATTTTTTTCCTTTTTTAATGTGGTGTATCATGTTGATTAATTTGTGATTGTTGAACCATCCTTGCATCCCTGCAATGAATCCCACCTGACTGTAGTATATGATCATTTTAATGTATTGTTCAATTTGCTAATATTTTGTTGAGGATTTTTACATCTATGGTCATCAGGGATATTGTCTTACAATTTTCTTTTCTTCTGGTGTCTTTGTCTGGTTTGGGTATCTGGGTAATGCTGGCCATGTAAAATGAGTTTGAAAGCATTCCTTCCTCTTCAATTTTTTGGAAGAGTTTGAGAAAGATGGATATTAAATCTTTAAATGTTTGGTAGAATTCACTAGTGAAGCCATCTGGCCCTAGACTTTTGTTTGTTTGGAGGTTTTTGATTACTGATTCAATTTTCATAATTGCTCTACTCAGATTTTCTGTTTCTTTGTAGTTCAGTCTTGGATAATTGTGTTTCTATATATTTATTCATTTCTTCTAGATTGTCC